ATATAATATATTATTCAGTATACACTATCCTATAGTATACTATCCTATACTACATTATACTACACAATACTATCTATATATACTATCTATTATACTACTCTATACTATATGTATTTTACTATCTGTGCCTCACTCTATGTACTATCTGCACTTGGGTTAGGGTTAGGGTATATATACTTTACTATATATATAAGCCCATATTATACCATACTGCCTTACAATATATTTACTATACTGTAAAACGGCCAATAATAATAGTACCCCTGATAATGCAGCAAGATGGATAAATCTCAAACCCATTATGCTACATGACAGAAGCTAGGCTCAGAGCTCTGTGCTCTGTGATCCCATTGCTATGGCATCCTGAAGAACAGCCCCTGGTTACCAGTGTCTGGGGCTGGGGGAGGGGTTGACTCCGAAGGCCTAGGGATTTGTAAGCGATTGAACGCCCTATTTTGGTTTTGGTGGTGGTTACATGGCTACTTGTATTGGTCAGAGATCATAGAACTGTACACAAACAAGGATTAATTTTATTGTATGTAAATTATACTGGGCAGAAAAGGTTAAATAATAATAACAGTAATAATAGTACTTGATTTCTAGAGTTTATTCAGCCGCATTCAGGTGATGCCTACTGTGTGCTGGGCAGGTACCGGGCACCGGGATACAGCCGGCAGTCCACAGCACTCCATGCAGGTGGAGACAGTGTGGATAGAAAGTGGTTAGAGAGGGTGACTGACATGAGCTATAATCATGGATGGTTTTCTACGCCCCAGGCACGGCGCTAAATGCATTAAAAGTACAAACTCTCTTCATCTTAGAACAATTCTCTGAGATGACTTGTATCACCCACAATTTTTTTAAAATAATAGTTTATTGATTTTGAGAGAGAGAGAAACATCAATGTGAGAGCCTAACATCCATCGCTGCCTCCTGCACTCCCCAGCCAGGGATCAAGCCCACAACCGTTCAGTGCACTGGATGACACTCAACCAATTGAGCCACACCAGCCAGGGCTGTCACCTCATTTTAATCATGAAGAAACTGGCCCCGGCCAGGTAGCTCAGTTGGCTGGAGCATTGTCCTGATATGCCAAGGTTGTGGGTTCGATCCCCAGTCATGGCACAAATAAAAATCAACCAATGAATGCATAAATAAGTGGAACAACAAATCAGTGCTTCTCTCTCTAAAAAAAAAAAAAGAAGAAGAAGAAGAAGAAAGAAAAAAAGAAGCTGACTGAAGCACAACCAGTTATTTGTCTAAGATTTCACAGAGCTAGAAAGTAAAACTAGGCATTGAATTTGGGCATCTCTTGGGAGACTATTCTCTTACCCACTACTGGCGAGTAAGGTGCATTTACTGAGCACAGCGCTTGGCCCAGAGTAAGTGCTAAGTAAATGGCAGTTGTTGCTATATTGATATTACAGATCCTCATTAGGACATACTTTCTGATATTTTTCTCCAGGGACCAAAGCGGATGTTGGACGCTCAAGTGCAAACAGACCCCGTATCCATTGGACCAGTTGGCAAATCCAAGTAAACAAATCGCCACAGTTCCCACCACGTCCTCCTGCCACCAAGAGGCCTCCTCCCTATCCATCTCCTCCCCGACCCACTCCATGTATATATTTTTTCTTCTGATGGCCATCGAATGAAATTCTGCCTACAAACCAAGCCTGAGCTGTTGTATATTGAGGTGTATTATTTACGTCTCTGGTCCGATCTTTGCTGGTAAATAATCGTAAGGATGGTTTAGGAGGTTAACTTGTCAGGTCAGAAGAGTGGATGGTGGGGTAGGGTAGAGGGATCTTTCTAGTTAAACTATGAACACGGCAGCGACAAGTTGCAGGAAAGAAATGGCTGCCTTGTGTAATTAAGCTTTGTCTTAAACGGGCTCATCCAAGAAGAGAGGAAAATCTGTTTAAGTTCATCTTTCAAGGAGGGAGGACATGGCTCTGTATTGGGAAGTTGCCAATTTCCTGGAGTGGAATGTGTGGGGAATGAGAAAAGGAGTGAATAAGAGTTGTTTTTTACATAGGGTCCTTGAAAGTTATTGGCGAGGGGGGCAAGACTGACTGGAGAGAGCTTAAAACAGTTTGGGTAAACAATTGCTTTTTTGAGGCTCAGTGACAAGGGCGAGGATTACAACTTAAAAACAAAACACACAAAAAAACAAAAAAATGCAGTTGCTAGTTTATTTTGCAACACAAGGGGGCGCCCAGGGCTCCATGTGAATCCTGCATCCTGTGTCCCTAACAAAGATGTGGTCCCTGCGATCTTACTTCTTCATGTTTCTTAGGTGGCTGAGGGGCTTGCTTCATCTGTCCTGTCTGGCACTTGTCTCGCGTCTGTCTGTAATTTCCTAATGTTCTCAGGATGTGCTCTGGTAAAACCCTTCCCGTAACCCCAATTAATAAAAATTTACAGAAGATTATTCACCTATGAGTTTTTTAATACTTGTACAGAGGAATAAATAGGACCAGGAGTCTATTAAAATGTCATTCAAAAGTCGCATATGATTGGCTGATATCATGTACTGTATCTTTCTCTGAGTTAATAAAAAAATACATTGATATCTAAAGCATCTTTTAATTTTCCACTTTTAAAGCAGGTCTCTCACATCCTATGTCTGAGACGCCTTTATCTTCCCCAGTAAAATATATATATTAGCTTCCTCCGGCTTGTCCTCTGTCCCAGCTCCTTCCAGGTTCCCTGTATGTGGCCACACAGGAAGACCACATTTGCATATGCACACGCACCTGTATAGAAGTGCTGTCTTGGGCCAGGCTGCCTAGAGCTGAGCCTGAGATGGGATTCGTCCCGATGCACGTGAAATCCTGAGGGAGGACTCCCTTCAGAAAGGGAGGAAGAGAGCAGGGCTGGGAAGGAGCTGAGCAAAGCCTGGGCTGGGCTGGAGCTGGGCTGCACGCTGCCCGGGGGGCGCTGTGGCGTGAAGTGCACCCCACAGCAGGTGCTTCCTCCAGCCAAGGGGCCACCCTTCCAGGCAGGAAGGCAAGCTCTTCCATTGCGCTGAGAAGCTGGGCTCCCTGAGCAGCTAGAGGCCGTCTGCATGGGCAGCGTCTGCTCACAGATACACCCACGGGGATTCACATTCACACCCCTGAGCATAAATGCATGTGTTTATACATATATACATACACTGCATACAGAAATAAATGCATGCACATATTTATACATATAAACATAAATGCATACAGGGATCGATAAATACATGCATACATTCATATTCAACACACATACAAGTAGTGTATGTAACTAACACAGATACACACACACTTGCCCATACAAATCCATCACATGTGTGATCCATCACACGTTGTTTGGAAATAAATTGAATATATTCTAAGACTGCACTTTAGCCAAATAAAACCATGGATTGGGCAACAAGGTGTTTAGAACGTGTGTTTGGGAGAAGCAAAAAAATGGTATCTCTAAGGAAACAGATTAGGGGGCCTTTGCCGCTGGGCCCGCTGGGTGCTAGGTTTCAAATAAAGACCCGAGGTATCTCCCATGAGGCTGAGTGACTTCCTCAGACTGCCTGCCCAAGCCTGGGCATTACTTTGAGAATGACCTCATGGCACCTCATGTCCAAAGCTTAACTTGGCACAAATCAGGGAAAACCCTCTGGGGAAGCCCTTGCTGGGGGTGACGCTCCCCAGCCCAGGGTCACAGGGCATGGGAAGAGGGCAGGGAGCCAGGCCGCTGGGGATTCCTTTGTGTCAGGAACCAGCGGGGGGTTTGCGGGCCACACCAGTCCACTGAGAACGGTGAGAGGGTGAGAGTATTGTTTGCAAGTTTCGCCTCACTGGACGCTGGGGCTTTGGGCCTGATGAGCATACGCAGGAGGAACTGAGTCATATGCAGAAGGAGCGCTCCCATCTGCCATCTCCCCCCTCAAAAATGTAAAATCTTTAAAGAGGTCCTTTGCTGAGAATCCCCCTGCAGAGCAAGCCAACAGTTCCTGTAACTGGCTTCCCATCCTCCTGGCCAAGAAGGAAAGCAATCTTTTCATGAAATTGCTCGCTTTCTACGGCATGAACATTGAACCCAGCTGACTTGTGTGGGGAGCTCTGTATTGAATTGTTAATGCAGCGCTAGGAAGCAAGTTTGAGTGTTGTGTGGTTGCTATTTTATGGGGAGGGGGTGGTTGTGGTTTTGGGTTTGGTTGTGTGTGTTTTAGTTGAGAGCCCATTCCTGAGCATTTACAATAAACACGAAAAGAGGGACTGATGTTCCTCAAACTAAGCCACTCGGGCAGCAAAACTGCCTCAGCAAAGCCTTCGAACACCCGAAACTGAGAGCCGTGGCCTGGGGCGGGGCACGGGGCCTTGTTAGTCTGTGCTCTCATTTACTTGTTTGCTTATTTACTTTTAGGTGCACAGGGAAGTGTGTCTTCTCCAAAGTCAAGAAGTGGCCTTTCCCAAGAATTGAGCTATTGAGCTGAAATGGCTGCCACTGGGAAAACAAAACAGGAAAACTCCGCTCCCAGGCCCAGCTGACCTGACGGTGACTGACTGATGCCCACATATTAACCCCTTCACGCACCGCTGTTCTCAGCGGCCCTTCGCGCCCTCATGAAGTTACCTTTAGGGGAAGGGAACACATACCCCAAAAATGCCCCCAAGGGAGGAAAAAGGGAGAGAAAATGAAGTTCTTTTATTGTTGTTGTCACCCCTCCCCCACCCCTTCCCTCTTTAAACAAATGATCAGGGATTTAAACACACAGACACAGTAGCTGATTGCCCTAGTTTGTTTGCAAACAGCCCAGATTCCATTAGATTCCAGGAGGCCGGAATCGCAGCCTCTGTTACCAGCCCCACTGGCTCCTTCTCAAAGTGAGAGCAGATTCCTACCCACTGAACCTGACAAACGTCATTTCTTATGTCAGAGTCCCAAATTGATCTTCAGCTTAAAAAAAAAAAATGCAGCCAGCTAGCCCACCTTCCTTAAAGAGCAGGAAAGCGGTGGCAATGATTCACTCACCCACGGAGCAAGCGCGGAGCGTGGCTCGCAGAAACGGAAATGGTCAGGGTCGGTTCTAACCATCCTCCCAACCTGCCCCTTAAGCCTTTGTCAGAGGCACTTCCCAGGTGAGTACAGTCAGGCTCCTCCGTGGTCTAGAATCTAGATCCCGTTCACTCTCAGTGGAGAGAACAGAAAGGAAGGGCTCCGTTAGGAAGAGCAGAAATTCCAGACTGAGCAGCAAAGTGGGTACATTGGTAATTCAGATCCTTAGTGCTGGCCTGGAGGCCGGTCAGCATCCAGCCCTTTGCATAAATTGGTTTTCTGGGGAGTTTAACCCTTTCGCCTCTGTTTCCCTTCCCCAGAAAGCTACTCTTGGAGCCTCTCCATCTCTTGGCCCTTTAACTAAACATAACAGCCCAAGCAATTTCACCGAAATAAGGGAAGTCACAGTAATACCTTAGGCGACCACATTTCACAGCTTGTAGAATGGTTTTTGAACGCATTATCTAATTTGAAGCTGTGCCCCTCACTGAACTTAATTGCTTCCTTTGTTACATTTCATTATGAGGGGATTGTCGTGTACCTGTATGGCTCACCCTCCGCTCCCCTCCCCTGATATCCCTCCTGCCCCCACCCCAAAGGATCACTTCTTGACAAAATGGCCCCCAGCTGCATTGCTGACAATGGTGGCCACGGAAGGAGCACCTTGCTTATGTAATTTACTCTCCAGAAGGACGTTTTCTTTAAATCTGGCCACACGGGGGAGTTCCAGGACCGGGGGTCTGGAATCTCTAGCCAGGCTCTTTTCCCTGATTGCCTAAATCAGCAAATCAGCGGTTCTCAACCTGTGGGTCGCGACCCCTTTGGTGGTCGAACGACCCTTTCACAGGGGTCACCTAAGACCCTCCTGCATATCACATATTTACATTACAATTTATAACAGTAGCAACATTACAGTTAGGAAGTAGCAACGAAAATAATTTTATGGTTGGGTCACAACATGAGGAACTGTATTTAAAGGGCCAGAAGGTTGAGAACCACTGGAAATGGAGGTTGGGGAGAAGCAGCTCTTAAGAATGTGTTTCTTGATTGACTTCTAGACAGCAGTCAAGTTGAATGAAGAGAACTAAAACAAGGGGCCAAACTGGGCATGCTCCATCTCCCTTCGCACTCAGCTCCACCAAGTAGGCACCACTGTTACCCTGCTGCTCAGGAAGGGAACTAGAGGTTAGGTCTCCTGCCCTCCAGCTGAGTGTGGGTGGTAAGGCTGGTGAGGATGACTTAAATGCTTTGCTACGACACCAACTTAAATGTTGCAATCACACTACCCTTCCTACCTTCTTCTAAGACTGAGCTGATGGGGATGGAAAAACAAACCAACCAACTTGATCTGTATCTTTGGGCCGGGAATTACAGGAGACCTGGACATAGTAGATTCTCCATCAATATCGGCTGAATGGATAAATCGGTAGATCAATATTCTATGGCCACATCCATTAGAAATTGAGTTGCCTCTGGTATGAGTTGATTTTAGCTCCAAGTGTTTGGTCACTCTAATCAGATATCCACCTCCCTAGGTGGCCAACCCAGTGGTTCTCAAAGTGTGGTCCCATAATGAGCAGCATCACCTAAGAACTAGGTTATGATGCAAATTACTGGATCCATTCCAGGCTGCTAGATCAAAACCTCCGGGGTTAGGACCCAGATGGTTCTGAGCACAAGAAAATTTGAAAATCACTGATCACGGTAGAGCTACCACTTCACTGAACATCAACTTTAGGAAAACAGCCCTGAAGATGCAAACATGGCAGCTAACTTTGGGTCTGAGTCTATGCCAGGTTGAAACTTAACCTAAGCTCTTAAAGGCATGTTTTCATGTTTGTGGGAGAGATGGGCGAGCAAAAGACAGTAATAATGTCATGTAAGAGAAGTAGATGCAGGAGATGTGGGACTCAGGAAGGCACAGGTAAGAGCCAGAGGGATTCTCAGTAGAAGAGGAATGCAAAAGCAAGTAGCTCAGTGTGGCTGGAGTGAGGCTGAGGGAGGACAGATAGGATGGTGGGCGCTGGAGAGGCAGCTCAGACCTGATATCAGGACACGTGGAAAGGAGCCTATAGGAAGTTTAACTTTCTCCCAAGGGCAATCGGGAGCCGAGGGAGAGATCTGACTGACTCAGATTTGTGGTTTGGTTGCAGATAGGATCCAATACAAAGTCAATTCAACTAATAGTCATTGAGTGACCTGAACTGTATACCAGAAATAATTCATAATCATTTTCTTTTTAAGCCTTTCTGAAGAGTATAAGGAATTCCCACTTTGCCCTGCCAGAGTGGCTCAGTTGGTTGAATGTCATCTCATAGACTGAAAGGTTGCTGGTTCAATTCCCTGTCAGGGCACATACCTGGGGTGTGGGTTTGATCCCCAGTCAGGGAGTGTACAGAAGGCAAC